CATCTTAGGGTTGCAATCATTGATAAGGACAATCCCTATGGGAAAATTTCTAAGGATAGGGAGTCCATTATCAAAAAATTACTGCTGGTGGAGCTGGTTAAAATTCTTCTAACTCCCGACGCTACCATTAGATCACCTGTGTTTCGCTCGTGGACATACTCTGGTGAGATCATCAGGGTTGTCAGCGAGGACGAGTACACACGGACGTGGTTGACGGATGCAGTGGGAAGCCTGAACCCGTGGGAGGGCAGTGCCATGGCCTTGGTGCGCTCTGACCAGTTGCCAAGGCTGACGAAAGCCACTCTCTGGATTCCCGTGGAAGTTGGATGCGACCATGGGGAAGAGGAGGTGGTGATGCGTCGCCTGGCAGGTCAGAACCCCACGGTGAGTGTGAACAGGTGATGCCTGTTCCACCACGAGGCTAAGGATGACCCACGAGGCCATCTACTCGTCTTCGGAATCGGAGACGAGGACCTGAAAACTCTGGAGGCGAGGTGGATGAAGATGCACTACATCTTCCAGTCCCTCGTTCTCAGGGTCAAAACACCCCTGGCGCAGGGCGACGAAGAAATCCACCCCTCCTCTTAGGAGGTTAGGAGGATAAAAGACGAGGAACACCACATTTGATTCACAATGTTTGGTTTAACAAAGGTAAGTGTGGTACAGTGTAACCTGCAACACAGCAGGGCGGCAACGGCTGCATTATGCCGCCGCCTTGATGTGGAGCAGGGTACACTGGCACTAATACAAGAACCCTGGGTTGTCAAATCCAGGATATCAGGTTTAAATAAACTAACTGGGCCTATTTTCCGCACACCCAACACAGACAGGCCGAGGACGGCTATACACCCCTCACCGTATCAAAACCCAACCACTACAACACCTTTCAACATCTGATCTGACCGCCGTGAAAGTAGAATGTGTAGTCAAGGGCAAACAAACTGCTGTTGTCATCGCATCAGTTTACCTCCGTGAGAATTTGGCAACCCCACCACCAACAAGGGAGATGGAGGAACTGGTGGTACACTGTCGCACCCAGAAATGGGAACTTATCATGGCCTGTGATACAAATTCACACCATGTATCTTGGGGTAGTGAAGACAACAACACAAGGGGTAGGTCTTTATACGACTATATTAACGTTAACAACCTTTGTATAAGTAATAGAGGCTGTGTACCGACATTTGTTAACTCAAGAAGTCAAACATTAATAGATGTCACGTTGACTACGGCGCGCATATCTAATGTAATCCAGAACTGGCATGTGGCAGACACTGCCTCAATGTCAGATCACCGCTGGATAAACTTTAATATTAATCTTATCAAAACTCCTCAAAAACCGTTCCGGGACCCCCGAGGAACTGACAGGGATAAATATCTTTGTCACCTCCGGGAGAACCTGGCAGCGGTACAAGATCAGGAGCCCAGAAATAATGGAGAGATTGAGGTATTCGTGAATACTGTACAATCTGCCATAAAAAGAGCCTTTATAACATCCTGCCCCCTCAGATCAGCTAGGCAAACCGGCGCAACCACGGGTTGGTGGAACCGGGAGCTGAGCGAACTGAGGAAGAAGGCCAGGATATCGTTTAACAAGGCAAAAATGACAAGACAAGACTCAGACTGGGAAATATACAAAACCCACCTGAGACTTTTCAAAAAACTGGTCAGGAAAAGACAAAGGGATGCATGGAGAGCCTACTGCGAGGAGATTGAAGACTACTCGCAGGCTGCTAGGCTATGTAAGATCCTTGCAAAAGAGAAAGATCATGATATAGATCTATTAACCAGAGAGGATGGCGTGAGAACCGCCAATCTAAATGAAAGTCTGGAACTGCTGATGCGGACCCACTTCCCGGGATCCACATCAATGGAACGGGAAGATTGGCCAGACGAAATTGAAAACCCACCCGCAGTCTTGGATTGGCAGATTGCCAACCAAACTGTAACTAAGGACAAAATTAGATGGGCAATGCAGACCTTCTCACCCTTCAAATCACCAGGCACTGACGGTATATATCCAGCCCTCTTACAATGGGGCTTGGATGTTTTAATGCCGCACCTGGAGCGGATGTTTAGGCTGTGTTTTGCACACCTTTACATTCCAAAGATCTGGAGGGAGGTAAGGGTTGTATTCATTCCCAAAACAGGGAGGCTGGATTATACCTCCCCAAAGGCGTATTGACCCATCAGCCTGACCTCGTTTCTGTTGAAAACGATGGAAAAGCTGTGTGAACGATACATAAGGGATAGTGTGCTGATGGACAGACAGCCACACCCTAATCAACATGCATACACTCCAGGGCGATCTACCGATACTGCTCTCCATCAGGTGGTGGGCAGGATCGAGAGATCTTTGGACAACAAGGAATCCACCCTGGGGGTATTCATCGACATAGAAGGGGCGTTTGACAAAACGTCCTTTCCCAAAATCAACTCAGCTCTCATGGAGAGGGGTTTCTTCCACCATCTGCAGATGGATATCGGATATGCTCACAAAAAGAGCTATACAAATCAGTGTTGGGAATGCCTCCGCGAGAGGAATTGTTGCAAGGGGCTGTCCGCAGGGAGGTGTTCTATCACCACTGCTGTGGAACTTAGTACTAGACAGTCTCTTGTGCCACCTCGACTCGGGAGGCATCTATACCATCGCTTATGCAGATGACCTCACTATGTTGATTAGCGGTAAATTCGAAGGGATCCTTTGCCAAACAATGCAAACAGCCCTGAGAATTATTGAAAAGTGGTGTGAGGACCATGCTCTGTCAGTGAACCCCAGGAAGACGGAAATGGTCCTCTCCACGAGGAAGAGAAAATTGGGGCCAACAAAGGCACCAACTCTCCTAAACACTACGCTAAGCTTTGCATCTGATGTGAAATACCTAGGGGTTACACTCGATGCAAAGCTAACATGGAATCTTCACTTTGAGAGAAGATTAAAAAAGGTGTACATATCCTATGAGCAGTGCCGCAGAACCGTTGGCAAAACCTGGGGCATGAAACCAAATGTGGTTATGTGGATATACACTGCCATTGTGAGACCAATGTTAGCCTATGGGGCTGTCGTCTGGTGGCCGAAATCCCAGCAGACGACAGCTAAACAAAAGTTCAGTCAAGTACAAAGGGTTGCCTGTCTGAGCATAACTGGAGCTATGCGTACAACACCTACCATAGCAATGGAGGTAATGCTGTGTCTGCCACCTCTGGATATTTATCTAAGAGAAATGGCTTTGACAACTATGCTTCGCCTCGAGAACGTTTACTTAAAACCGGTTGTAGGATGTGGAGAAGTCAGAAGTCGCCTGTGGTATGAGGTCGTCAGGAAGACGCCCCTCCTGCAGGCAGACACTGACAGTATTTCTCCCCGGTTTGCATTTGACAAACCCTACACCGTACTCATTAAGAGACAGGAGGAGACCGCCCGTGGAGATGTAATTAGCATCTTCACAGACGGATCAAAAAGGAAGGAGGGTGCAGGATGTGGAATATACTCTAGATCCCTGCACATCCGATATCAATGGGCAATGGATAGGCATGCCACCGTTGTACAAACGGAGTTAGCAGGCATAACCATAGCCGCGAAGGAAATTGCCCGCAGGCATACTACGGGCAAAACCATTAGAATCTACACGGATAGTAGACAAGCACTACTGACCTTGTGTAATCATAAGATAATGACTAGGACAGTATGGGAATGCCATGAAGCACTGGTTGTGGCCTCGGCCGCTAACAGCATATCTGTATGCTGGGTAAAGGGACACGAGCAGTGCTATGGCAATAAAGAAGCCGACAAGCTAGCCAGGAGCGCATCGGGCCTCAACATTTTTGGACCCGGCCCCTCCAGTGTGCTTCCGTTGTCGGCACTTGTTGGAATTATCAAGGAAAACACCCACAAAGAATTTATGAAACGGTGGGATGAAACAATCAGCTGTCACTTTGCTAAGGAGTTCTTAGTGTATCCTAGCAAAGACACAGCCAAAAAATACCTGGCTATGTCTAGGTCAAATCTTCGCCTGGTGACAGGTATTCAAACTGGACACTGTTGGCTAAGGAAACACCTTTACAATATGGGGAAGTGTGAAACACCTCTTTGTAGGGGCTGTGAACAGGAAGACGAGACGGTGTTGCACTTACTATGTGAATGCACTGCCGTCTCGTCAACAAGAGAGTCCATGTTGGGAGAGCGCTGGCCTTCAATGGCCTATATTAGAGAGACCCCCCTGAGCAACGTCACCACCTTTTTCACTGTAATAGGCTGGTTGGCGGCTCAGGTGGATTGATCTCTCTAATGGGAGGATGTACAAGGGGCCCAATGGGGCCTAAGTGCTGTAGCTTTGCTACCCTCTCCAGACTCCAGGATATTTCAATAAAAATCACTATGGGGCAGCTTTTGGGGTAGCTGAACATGAATATGAGCTTGTTGTTTATTTAAAACATAGAGGTCACTAGGAACACTTTGAATTTTATCATACTTTCTGTTTTGCAGGTAAATTAAACAATTTTTTGATTTAGACCAACGCACCTTTAAAACGTCAGTGTTTACAGAGATGTAGGCTTTTGAATGTTGTACCGCAAAATCTAATTCACAAAGCTATATCCCAGTAATAATTGTTGAAAATTGAATGAGGGTAAATTGGTCTTGGTCGTACAAAATATATAATTTAAGTGTAAATTTGGCAAAAAAGTGAAGTATAAATGAACTAGAATACCCCCCCACCCAATACACATGCAATAAATATACTTAAACTAGTGTTTCAAAAAATATATGTGTGTTCTCAAAGTCCCTACCATCAAAATAATATGACAAAAATGAAATCCTATTTAAGGCGTTCTTAACGACATTTATGTTTCAAGTAAAAAAATAAGCTCATATTCGACTACCCCACAAACACTCCATATTAAGTTTCAATGACTTTCTTTTGTAGGTAATTTTTTTGTTTCGGTATTATTTTAAGGCACATTAAAATAAATAAAAAATTACATTATGTTTATGTTCTTACCTTCCTACGGCAATTACACCCATCATAGATGACGTTAACTTGTGAGGTTCAGTTAAACTATACATTGATGAATATAGTTTATCCAAAGTCATCGGAATGATAATATTAGGTCTCAAAGAAGCCAGATACTGCAGTGCTAAACTAGTATCCTGGGAACCCATTCTAGAAAACATAGCTTGTTCTATGCAAGGCTTTAATATATTTACAAATTTATCTATATTTTCATCAGTAAGTTTGTAGTGATCTGGAACGTGGAACTCCCACGATGGTGTTTTGTAACGTTCGCAGTGGACACGCTGAATAAAATAATAAGATAACTGTCTTAAAAGTTCTCTGAGCTTAGGTGTCCATCTAAAAATAAAAAACTGATCTGTGCAAATTTTCAAAAAACATATAATTAAAAAAAATTCATTGTCTCAAATGAATCTGTGTTCTTCAGAAATTGTAATTTAAATATGAATGTTATTAAAACTTATCTTAAAACATATTGTAAATTAATAATTTCTGTACAATTACAATGTAAAAACTTAATGGAAAAAATTACCTTCCAGTATTGGCAGGATGATAATAAGATTCTAAGCTCTGCATTAATTTTTCAAAATGAAAAAATGCAGTATTATTGTTACCATTTAAGGCACAAATTATCCAAATAGCCATAGCAGATGTATCAATTTTATGTTGCTTTCCCAACTGTCTTTGTTTAAAGGTTACTGGCAGCTGCAAAGTCCTTTGAAAACGAACAAACATTGTTGGTACATATGGCTCCCAATCAATGTATCCTATCTGGAATCGTGCTATGCTAGTCATTATCCACATCATATGCTAAAATTTTAATATTGTGTTATTAATAATCAATTGTTTTTAAGTACAAATACAATTAGGAAACAAATTGGTAATATTTATTTGACTATTTTGATATATTACAGAAGAAATATAAAATACTTAAATGAGAACATTTCTAAATCATTCAAAAATTGACTCCGTGTTCCTACTTTTTCATTATTTTTCAAGTTACAAAAAAAATGTAAGAATATTGTGGGGATTTTAAAAATTTCTTTGACAGATACTTATACCAGAAAAACAATTGAATGCAGCATTTGGGAGATGTAAACCTAATTCAACTTCTTTTATTTTTTAATGTGTTTGTGTATAGTGGTTTCATGAAAAAAATAATTGCTTTTCTGTAGATGCAGGAAAAAGTTATAAAGCATTAAATAAATTAAATAAACTAACTGTTTTTAATTAAAAATAAGTACAATCAATCCAATTTTTCAAAAACTTATTTTACAGATTATTGTCTCTTTTAATACTATTAATCAATTTTTTACTTTCTTAAGCATTTTGTTGCCTCTCATTTGGTATAAATATTATTAATAAAAGTATGTTTTGAAGGAAAAGTTCCATGAGACTATAGTATGTATATATCAGCAGTCGGTAACTGGCGGACCGCGGTAGGTAAAATACTGGACCGCCAAAAATTTTTTGAAAGTATAAATTACTCAAATAAATTATTTAAAAAATGTTTTTTACATTTCAGTGCCATAGTTATCATTTTTTCTAGTATTTTACAATTATGTGAGTGTTGTGAGTTGTTAATGGTTAGCAAGCAGATTAAATTTTGAGTCCTAATTAAAATAAAAAATTTGTAATATGAATTTTTTTCTGGACCTCGTTAAAAATTTTCAGAAGTATCCGGACCCCACCTAAAATTACTTGCCGACCCCTGGTATATAGCCATGTCTCGCTTGAAAAGCTCTATTGACGGTCTTTCTAATGGTGTAAAAATCTATATGCTCCATTAAAAAAAAATAAATTAGATCTCAAAATCTTGATAACTGTCTTTATGGAATGTATGTAAGAATATCATGTCGTTTGTTTGTGCAAAACTAATGTATATTTTAGGTAAAAATATTTACACTAAACAGGGTCTTACATAAACTTCAAAAAACCTGGGAGGCAACGTGTTTCTATTGGAAAAATAGTAAGGGTAGTTCATATAACGTTTCTCTCCATAACGCTGGTGTTAATGTTGTTGCTTTGGGTTCTTTTCTTAATTATGCTTAAATTGGCTAAGATAAAGATGTCCAAGTTTGTAAACGAATAAATGTCAATTGTCTTAAGAAAAATATGAAAACTATTTTATTCGCAATAGTAGTGGATTACCGCTATTAGGTATAAGATAGTTTGAACACTTTTCTTACGATGACAGTTCATGTACATCTTTATCTTTAGCTGATTTAAAGATAAGTAAGAAAAATCCTCTTCAGACACCTTTAATATGTATATATTGAAAATGCGGCATTAATGAAAAAAACGTTTAAGAACTACCCCGCTATTATCCCAAGAAGATCTTATTTAAGTTTTTTTTTTTGGAAGTTTAAAAGGGATGCCTGTATATTTGGTAGTACCTACAATTGTTTCAATTTATTTTTTTTAAGTTGCAACTGAAAATATATTTTTTAAATCAATTTCTTTAGGTACAGTACATTTAACCAATTTCTAAAATATATTTATTTTTTATATTATTAAGACCTTTACTAATTACTTACATTTTCCCAAGCACAAGCATTATGGCAAACATCCCAAAACGTCATAAATTCCTCAAACCATAACTTATAACTGATATCTGCTTCCTCTGGTTTCATACTGTAGGGTAGAAATAGCTCTAAATACTGTATTGTATTGGATATGTCTGATACATTAAAGGGGCATAGTCTCGGTCTAAATTCATCTAAGATTTCTTGGGTAGCAGAAGCCGGGAAATAACTTAAAACAAAAAATATAAAAATTGGTAGTTTTTAGTAACAACCTGAAAGAACTAATAAATTGTCAGTATTGAAACTATTTTGTTATCCATTTTAAAATTACAGTACCTATATTGTTCTAACAATTTTAAAATGCACCTTTTTGTTCCTGAGTAAAACTTTTTGAGGTTTGTGAGAAAAATATCAATTACAAATATTAGGATAAGTGAACATATGAAAGCTTTACTGTTTATAAAGAAATGCATAGTGCATTCTCTCATGTACTTAAAATAGTGTTTTTTGTGTAACAATTTATGATTTTTTGAATTGGTGATTTTTTTCACAATTTATTTTTGAAAGCAATTGTTAACTTCACTGAACAATTTACAGAAAGTCATTTTACATATGATCTGTAATATTAACCTTGCACCCGACTATTAACAATTTGATTTTTGTTGTAATAGAATATGATACATTGTTGAATATTATACTATTGATACTATTTTATTGATTTATCCAATTCAACCATGTCCAGCAGTTAAAAATAAGAAAAGAAGCATTAGCTAATAGTGGTGGATGGTGAAAATTAAAATGGTTACCTATATTTAAAACAGGTTTTAATATTTGTTCATTTAAATTAAGGTAAAACCCATTGTTAGGTACTTATTATTTATTACAATGATTAATCAAGTTTACAGAACATCAGAAATTAGGTTAGTGCATTAGGGAAAATTAATGTGGCAGTGTACCTATAAATTGCTAACAGTTAAAGCTTATATAATGTAACAATATATTGATGATGCGGCCTACAAATAATACTACACTCTGTCTCTTCTCTGTGATTTTTGTTAATTCTTATGATTAGAATGAGAAGTAGAAATATTAATATGCGTAGTACTGCTACTATGTATAGCAAAATATGAAATGGTGGTTTTTAATATAATTAGGTATAAATTAAATAATTTAACTGCATACTTTTTTATGCATGAATAGTGTTGGATAAACTTATTGATTAATAAGATTAATTTCTGTTGTAAGATTTCGCAACAGAAATGTTTAATTTTTATTGCATGTCATGCTCGAAAACTAACACTTCATAAAGAAAGAATGCTTCAATAAATTAAAAAAGTTATAACCACGGAAAAGATATATTTAATTAAAATATTTATTACTGTGATAGATTCTATTCAAAAAAATATTTTGAAATATATAATACTGTGTTACAAATACATTTAGGTACTATTTATACTTACACTTTAGAAGCTCTAATGACATGAAAAATGGTGTGTTCGAATGTTGAAAAATATCTATACATTCCAATATCAGTTTTACTTTTCTCCATCACTCTAACACACAAATTATATAGTGGTCTCCATTCCAATTGCAGTTCATCTCTAGTTAGGAGGTATTTTTTTCTGCAATAAGGTACTTTTCGATAAAGGATTTGCATCAGAAAAAAATAACAATAAAACTTACTTGAGCAACTGTATAAGAGTTGTAGCACATTTATTAATTCGTGTAGGTTCTAAATCTGGAATGGTAACTAATTCATAAAATAGCTTAATTAAGGCAATATGGTCTTCTTTTGAAAACTTCATTCCATAAATTTTGATGTACCTGAAACGGCGCCAGTTTTTAAAAGTCCCTTAACCCCCTCCAAAAATTTAACCTCTTAAAAGTTCTAAATGTCAAATGTCAAAACAATGTCATATGCAAGTTAATTTTTAAAATACTTAAGCAATTTTATTTAAAATGTGGTGTCATTAAAGGACTTTTGTGTATAAAATTTAAAATAAAACTAAATCTAATTACTTGTTTAGTCTAGAGGTCCATAGGGCGCATCCAGGCCGCATTTCTCTGGCCAGAACAGCTTTAACCAGGTTAGTTTTAATATCCGTAAACAATTTCTTTGATTCTTCATCCAGTTCTTCTGCATAGGGTAGTAATTTGTTATAAATATTTTCCTTTTGTGGATTAAAACCTAGTTTTTCAAATCGCGTCTTTTCAATATCCTTATCCATAATAAAATAAAACTTTTAAGTTTTTATAACACTTTGTGAGCAAACAAAATTAAAACACCTTTAATCGATGCACGTCACTTTTCACTTAAGGTAGTTATTCAACAACTTGCTATTTTTATTGTTTTGCCACAGTCATTTGAGACATATTTGTTTCTAACCAGTGGCACTTTTTCAACCAATGATTGATGCCATTGCTTTCTGCCCAATCATGCTGACCAATTGTACTTATTATTACTAGCGCCAAATTTGAAATACGAGGTAATTGCCTCCGGAAGGACATTTATTTTGAACTCGATGACGATGTACTTTTTTAAGAATGATTTAATCTGCGGTTCTGCATAAGTGCATAACTTACACCATTGGAATAGTTTAGGTTTACACATGTATACACGTATAATGCCAATAGTTTTTTATATTCATTTTTTAAATTATTAATTTTCCTAAATACTTAGATACAAATTTATATCTTTTTGAGGATGTTTTTGTAATAGTAATTATTAATTCTAATATAGGGTGATCGATTAAAATGGGAGTTATTTGACCTTCAGAGATCCCCTAGGGGACAATCTGACAAGATCAAATATACAGGGTGTTCGGAAATAGTGGTACTTATAATAATAATAGATATAGACGTTTTTTATTTTTCTCAAAATTTTAATTTTTCATAAAGTTAGAGCATTATTATGTTTGAAAAATAGAATGTTTTAATATCAAATTAAATTTAATTTTGTCAAAAATAAAAGGCTGTATCTATCAGTTAATTATGAAATATACATATAATATGTTGCATAAATTTGTGCATCTCTTTTCGAAGAGTCAGTAATGCCTATTTAAATTTTTTTGTTTCGCAAAGGACCACGCTCAATCCTTATGAAAAATTGGTTTCAGCCAATTTTTCTCAAACTTGGCAAATCGGTAGTACTTAACACGCTGATCAAAAGTCTCAATGGGCACAAAGCCGAAAAACCCCTCCAACCCTTTCGAATTCGACCCCCAAGGGCGAAAAGTTGATCATAGGCCGATTGCCTTACAGCAATATTATACAGCCATAAAATAATTAGTAGTAACCCACCCAATGACTTAGACAGTGACTTTTATCTTCTCGCCATTGAGTTACTTCTCCCACTTTGCTACTTGGAGTATGTGGATCAGTTGTCGGTAGTGATAGTATTAAAACGTTTTACAACTCGTAAGCAGTGAATAGTCATCAAGCATCTTTTGTTACGTTTAGATGAGGTGTGTGTGTTGGGGGTTGCGGTGGTGGTAGTGGTGGTGGTAGCAAAGTGGGAGAAGTAACTCAATGGCGAGAAGATAAAAGTCACTGTCTAAGTCATTGGGTGGGTTACTAATAATCATTTTATGGCTGTATAATATTGCGGAAAGGCAATCGGCCTATGATCAGCTCTTCGTCCTTGGGGGTCGAATTCGAAAGGGTTGGAGGGGTTTTTGGGCTTTGTGCCCTTTGAGACTTTTGATCAGCACGTTAAGAACTACCGGTTTGCCAAGTTTCAGAAAAATTGGCCAAAACCCATTTTCAATAAGTATTGAGCGTGGTTCTTTCTTCCAACATTTTTTGTGGGCCTAGAAATTATCCCCGAAAAATGGTATGGTTCCCGTGCTTTAATATCAAACATGACCACTTTAATTTTCACCAGCACCCACTGATAATATTAAGAATTACTTTACATATTTTTTATACATTATTTATTATTACACTGATTTGCAATTTATACTCCAAGTATTTTTTTTAGAAAGAATTGGTACATTTTTAAATTACTTTTAATAATTTTCGTTAATTTTGCTTTACATTGGAGCTAGAGTACCTATTACAGCATTATTTTTAATGAATACTATCTATAATTGAAAAATATATTACACGATTATTTATGGTTAGATAAAAATTACTAATAGAAAAGTATTATTTATAAAACATTTAAAAACAGATGCACTTTCCTTTAATAAGAAGTACATAGTTAAAATTCAATACACACTTACACTTGGATGAGTTTAATTGTTTACATGCCTATTCATTAAAATATAAAGGCATAGTATTTCATATTTACCTCTTTTTATTTTTATCCAAAGTGGATATTACTTGTGACATATTTAATGTTAATTGTTACAAAAATTATGCGAAAATTTATTTTTGATATACTATTCAGTAAGTTTTAGTTTAACTGCAAAGTTTAGTAGGTTTAACTTATTAAACATTTAAATTCATATGAATTTAATAAGCATTTGACTAACCAAATTAATGGGATTTTTTAAGTTGTACTCATTCTTGTATTGTACATGGATCTTCATAACAATATGCCATATATGTCTTCTAAATTCTTGTTATATTAAATGATGGGTGAATAATTATTATCAATCTGATCAAGTACCTAAATACAGGTACATTATTTGAAATAAGGTTTGAACAAAATTAAAATACCAACATAATATGACTGAAATAAGACATATTTGGCTTTTTCAAGGGACTAGGTATGTCTTGATAAACATGTTTTAAATTACAAATTTGTATTTTATGTTTCAGGGCTGAAGATGTCGCAAGTAATCAAAATATTACCAAATCTCCCATTTCCACATTTTGCAAAATATGGTATTATACGCCACTTATGTATCGGGAAAGGTGAGTTATTAATATTTGTGTAGCTGGAATATATATGCAAACATTTTAAAGCAGACTTATGTATTTATTTTAAGAAAAATGCTTTTTATTTATTGGATATCCATAGGATAGGATTTTCTGTTTTGGTATTATGGACATCTGCCTATGTTAGTAGGTTCATAAGCATCCATATAGCAATCTTTTCTGTAGTTCTGTTGGACAGTTTTATTATGCAAATTCGAAAGGAATCATCATTTTGTTAATAGAATGAGTATCACAGAAGGCACTTTGCATATATTATAATTGTCTGGAAATAATCTATAACCTTATATAATCGCATAGTGAAAATATTACAAATCACTTGGAAGGTTGTTGATTTAATAATTAATTATTAAAATTTGGCGCGCAAAATAAATGTGTTAAATGGGTGTTTGCTACTGCACTAATTTGTGACACCATTTAGTGTAATTGAGAATTGAGAAGATGAATGAGAGATAGAGGAATGCCCGACAGCAGGAACACAAGTACAGTAAGTAACATGCTTTGCTTCAAGGCTCCTCATTTCGGCATGGGAATTGAAGACTAGGCGGTAGACAGCCGACATTAAATGACGTCACAATTCGTTGTTGATCACGTGACAGTATTTAATTTTTGCACTATTTTCAACATCCATAATTAAATTGTAGCATTAAAAAGAATCATTTGCTTACCATCGTTAGATGTTGGTTATAGATTACAAATTTAGACCGTTCTAAAATAAATTAAATTTTCATGCAAGTTGCCTATTACGAACGTGAACGTTCATAAGATAAGATGTATTTCCGTTCTGTTTTGGATATCCATAAATTGCACATTCATAAAATATGTTTTTTTTTGATATCCATGGATATGATACATACTTTTCTCTAGTTTTGATGGACATTCTTATTATGAAATTTCGTAAGGTGTCAAAATGAATATGCCAATTATTATTAATTAACATCCATAAGACATATTTTTGTTAACTCAAATGGATATCTATAAATTAAGCGTCTATAAAACATCATTTTGGTTGTCCAAATTAATGCATTAAGATATCCTTTTCATTATGTAAATGATTTATTTTATATTACGTATTTAAAAGATTTATAATTATCTATTATAGCCCCTATCAAAAAAAGTGAAGAAAATGGTAAAGAACATAAAGAACATGTTAAATTTCGATGAGTAAAAATGCAGTATAGACTCTTTAATCCGAACTAATTAAAACACGGGCTTAAAGAAATAAGTTCGAATTACCGATATTTTCGGATTACTGGATAGTAAATATGTATGTAAATATGTTTATGTACATACATATAATATGAATTAGATTTTATATGTTACTGAGAAGGCAAAAAATAACAATAAAACCAAACATTATTGTAAAATATGTCGTATAAATATGGCCATGTTTGCACGGCAATAATATTTCAACTAAAAAGATCTAATCGAGAAAGGTTCTGACTCGTATAAAAGTGTTTTTCCGAGACTGCTGGGGTTACTTTTTATTATGTAGTCTGACTTTATAATCCAAACTATATACGTTAAACCGAATTTTGTTCGAATTAAAGAGTTTTGTTCAGACCATAGAAACGTGCATTCGTCAAGTCGTCGGGCCGGATTAGTGGATATTCGGATTAAGGTGAGTTCGGATTAAAGAGTCTATACTGTATATCAATAAAAATTAATGTTACACGATAATCACTTTTTTGAGGTAGTTATGATCAATAATTGTCAATAAAAAGAATTAGATTTTTTCAATTACAGTGTATACAGGCTGTTACAAATTTGCTTCTCACTACAGGAATCTCGGAAACAGTAAGAGATACAAGTAGCTTAAATGGGGGCAAATTTACGTAATCAGGGGACCAACATTATGCCTCTAAAAAATCAAGGCTAACATGATTAGTTTTCGAAATATTTGCAAAAAACCGAATTTTTGGAAATCCCTTTTTGTTTAACTTCAGCCTTGTTTAAGATGATATTGAAAAGAGAAGAACACTTTCTCATGGCAACTTTTTGTCCTCTATCGAATAGCATAATCAATTTTTATATGTAACGTTTCGTCTCTCCAAGACCATCATCAACTTAATTTTTTTAAATACGACCCTAGAAATTTTATTACATTTTTCGCAAGCTTTCATGACTCCCAATACTGTACTGCCACAGCTCAAACCAGATTCAGACGTTTTGTTTCTAAAAATTCTTCTTCAATGTATTCGTTCCAAATGTATCTAATCTTTCTTAGATTTCTATGTTTCTTGAATTATCGTACACTTTATGTGTCGTTAGACCCTATGAATTCCACCTTGTTATTTAAACGATTACCATCACATGTTACAATAAAACATTATTAGAGTTTTAATCCCCTGCTCATAGTTATTTCTAGGTTCGAGTGCTCAAAATTCAAACAAATTTCGATCTATTTTTTTCAGGATATTCATACAAATACATCTGACATGCTCTTTAATAGTTGTGGTTACACGTATAATGAATTCCGATCATATTATGCTTATCTTAATTTTCGACATTTGCCAAAACGGAAACATTTTTGAACATTACTGTAATTTTTTAAAGTATAATATTTATTTGGAGTTTTGGTTGTTCATTTGCATTTTTAAAAATTAATTTGTCATAATGAAATTAAAATTGTAGTAATGTTTTAATTTTGACCCAACAACTTATCGAATTATGTATGACCAGGTGATGGAGATTAAAATTCTGTTTAAAAATAATGTTTTAGTGTAACGTGTGAAGGTAATAGTTCAAATAACTAGTTGGATTTCACAGGGTCTAACGACACTTAAAGTGTACGATAATTCAATAAACATAGAAATCTAAAAAAAAATTAGATAAAGGAACGAATACATTGAAGATTAATTTTTAGAGACAAAACGTTTGAATTTGGTTCCAGCTGAGGCAGTACAGTATTGGGGGTCATGATGGGGCTTGCAAAAAATGTAATAAAATTTCCAAGGTCGTATTTAAAAAAATGAAGTTGATGATGGTCCTGGAGAGACGAAACGTTACATATAAAAATTGATTATGCCATTTGATAGAGGGCAAAAAGTTGCCATGAGAAGGTGTTCTTCTTTTTGCAATATCACCTCAAACAAGGCTGAAATTAAACAAAAATGGATTTCCAAAATTTCGTTTTTTTTTCAAATATTTTGAAAACTAATAATGTTAGCCTTGATTTTTTAGAGGCATAATGTTGGTCTCCTAGTTATGTAACTTTGCCCCCATTTAAGCTACTTCGTGTCTCTTACCGTTTCCGAGATCCCTGTACTGAGAAGCAAATTTGTAACAGCCTGTATGTATCGAGTTAATAATATTCAACTCAATATTGGTTGAACAAAGAATGTAATATGAATCTTTCTAAATTGAAATTTACAGAATCTTATCAATTTTTATGATTTTCTCATACATCTGAACATCTGAGTTCAATTTAAATCTATAGGTAAAGGTAAAAAATATTTATTGTGCATAGTTATAAAGGCAATATACAACCTATACACAAAAGGACTAGACACAGATAACTGATAATTAGCCTACCCCTCAGAAAGTCAAGTAACTTACACATATTAAAAGCAATAATATAAATAAATTATAAAGTGTTATTAAAACAATGTAAAAAAACAGTATAACTTATATATACATACACAACACTCATACATGCTTGTGCAATACACATACAAATACGTAGTATAGTCAGACTCACACTCGCACACACACGCATATTATATTAATACTAATATTAAGTCAAAAATTAAAAAGCTAAAACTAAAAAACAGCAGCATTTGTGGAGTTATCGTTTTCCATGACCAACTCACGAATGCGTTTCTTAATCAGAGGTGCATTACGGAGTGTTAAGTCTTGAGGCACCAGTACATTATTTAATATCATAGCTGCTAAATAGGTAAATGAACATCTAAAATACTCAGTTCGATGACGCATTATTTGCAAATCGTGTAAATTACGAAGCTGACGATCATGCTACATCATGTCGCCAAACCAACTTCTCATAAAGATAGTCAGGAGTTGTATTACACAGTATATTATTTACAAAAACACAAAAATAAACATACTAGTTAAGTTAATGTTACTGACTGTAGAAAATACTCGTATATTAGTATATAAGTACACATATAGTGTCATATTATATATATTTTCCAAAATAAATAATAAAATTATAACTTATAACCTTGTATACAACGTTAGAATGTAGACAGCGAATAGCTCATTTGCTTCAATATGTAGGTAGCTAGGCACCAAAGAAATTAGTCACTAGACATATGATGTCCATAGGATGAATGTATGCTATTTTGGAATACTATAACATGAATCTGATTTTAACGATAATATTACAATGCAAGCACATTGACCATAAAAGTAAAAAAACTTTATCATAATGAATTTACAACAAAATTTTATAGTGTATGAATCACTTTGATGATGCATGTATTGTATTTCAAAAACTCAAACAGCTAGAGCTGATTAACAAGTGCCATTAATTTAGTAAAAGAATGACTTAAAAATTTCCTCATTTAACTGTTTTTCTGTTTCAGATCTCTTGTGGTTTCAGAGATACATGCAATTGGTCAGAAACATAAATATTTGTAATTTTATTACTGCTCCATTTTGTTTTAGTAGTATTACATAAATATAATTGGCTTCACTCAGTTGTTTTTTACAATTTGAAATAAACTACATATTTTCAGTGACTTTGAACTGTGAACAAAGCATATCCTAAATTTATTGGGACTTTGTTTTAATCTATAATTTGTGATGTAGAATCCACAATTAAAGTTTGAGCAAACTTTTTTTTTACATTCTATATAGATACAGATGTAACATCTTCATAGAAAGAATTTACTTAATCTGTTAAATAACATATTTGTTATTCTATGTCCTACGATTGACCCTACCTGGACATATGCATAGTGACCAAATAGTGATGTTCTTTATGAACTTGTATAAACCTATATACGATACTCTTTATATTGAACGTATCAGAGATAAGATGTTGATAACATTGTTATAAATTGCCATGAGAAGATTCACATGCTAGAGTTTTGGAACAATTATATTACTTTTGTTCTTTTTTTTATTGCTGTTGAAATGTTTTTTTTCTATAATCTCTAAACAAAAATTTACTTTACTTTGAACCTACTTAAACTTCCAAACTCGTGGAAAATTAGAAATAGATTAATAACATCAATTACTGCAAAAAAGGTACTCATTTTTTTTTATTATCATCTTATCGTGATCATTTTATTTTTCATATTTTTTAATTTTTACTGTAATACTGTATGAAAGTATTTATTTATTTTTACGTTTCTTAAGTAGCTTTTCTTTTCACTGCAGTGATAAACATTAAAGACCAAACTTTTCTAAATAATATATTAAAATGGTATAGCCATAACTTGTCGAACTTGCATTTAATTACTATTATTATTATTATTATTATATTTTCATGTTTCAGATATTGCAAAACCTAATTTAAGCCCAGGACCAGATTTTCTTTTACAGAATTTAAAAAATGCGTCATCTCCAAAAACTGTGCTAAAACTTGTTAATGAGCATTATAATATTTTAAATAGTAAACACCTTATGCAAGCATTGCGATCTTTGTTTGATTTACAAAAATATGGAAGGTACGTGCTTGAATTTTGTGAAATCAATTTAATTTCTATACTTATTTCAGCTCAAACGTGGTCACTAAAGATATTCTTCGACATCCAGATTTTGAGAGACTCTGCAAGAAGTTAAGATCACAGTCTGGTGTTATAGAGTTGAATGAGACCATCGAAGCTTTAAAAATAATTTCATATGTTGGTGTACCGTCAAATAGCACAATAGTTCAAGTGTTATTGCAACTTGTTCGACAAAATATCAATTCGTTGACCCTTCCTCATATAATGTTTTTGGATTTTCTTTTACATCAATTTAAGAGTTCTCCATTGGTCGACGCTTTGAAAATAGCTTTACCAATCGTGTTTGAAATCCATTTGCCTTTAAAAATGGATAGAGAAAATGTTGCACATTTGGCTGAATATTTACATTATGCTTCAAAGACACGATTAGCAGATGCTGCCATTGATACAATAGTAAAAGCTTTATATCAGCTGAATGAAGAATTTGATGCAAAAACTGCGAAAAGTATTATTTGGTCCATAACTGATATGGAACCCAATGAAATTTTTGAGCCTTTAATGAACAAAGCTCTTAATGACTTCATTGTACATATAGATGATGTAACTTATACAGATATAGAATCAACATTATCAAGACTCATTCATAGGTATTCTAAACGTTATCCTTATTTCTACAATGAGGTTTTTGTTGATACCTGTTCAAACTACGTTATTGATCATGACCTAGGATTTGAACATTGTGTGTACATGTTAAGAAAATTAGGAAGAATAGTAAGTTCTTATTTATAATTATAGAATAAGTTCACAGTAGAAATGAAAAATACGAACCAGATTCTTTCATCGTTTAATTTATCTGTCTTTTACATTTTGATTATAGGAAGTTCAAAACTAAATTTTAATAAATACAGGCTGTTATAAATTTCTCTTCTCACTACAGGGATCTCGAAAATGGTAAGAGATACAAACTAGCTTAAATGAGGGCAAAGTTGTGTAATCAGGGGACCAACATTATGCCTCTAAAAAATCAAGGCTAACTTGATTAGTTTTCGAAATATTTGAAAAAAAAACGAAATTTTGGAAATCCATTTTTGTTTCATTTCAACCTTGTTTGAGGCGATATTGAAAAAAGAACACTTTCTCATGGCCACTTTTTGTCCTCTTTCGAATGGCATAATCAATTCTTATATGTAACGTTTCGTCTCTTCAGGACCATCATCAACTTCATTTTTTTATACGACCCTGGAAATTTTATTACAATTTTTGCAAGCCTTCATGACCCCTAATACTATACTGCTTCAGCCCGAACCAGATTCAAACGTTTTGTCTCGAAAAATTCTTCAGTGTATTCGCTCCAAATTTATCTAAATTTTTTATTTAGATTTCTTTGTTTATCGAATTATCGTACACTGTAGGTGAATTAGACCCTGTGAAATCCATCTAGTTATTTAAACTATTACCACCACTCATTAAAATAAAACATTATTATAGTTTTATTCCCGTGTCCATAGTTATTTCTAGGCTTCTCTCAAAATTCAAACAAATTTCTATCCCATTTTGAACTTCTACAATCTTCCATAAACCGTGTATCATGTGTTTAATATTTTTCAGGTTTCATGTCTGATTTTGAACATTATTTTGCAATATGGCAAAGTATGAAATTAAACAGATCAGAATTTGTGGATATACTTCCATCCAAGTTTGAACCAAAAAACCAGAAATTTTATTACAATTTTTGCAAGCCTTCATGACCCCCAATACTATACTGCTTCAACCCGAACCAAATTCAAACGTTTTGTCCCGAAAAATTCTTCTTCAGTGTATTCGCTCCAAATTTATCTAAATTTTTTATTTAGATTTCTTTGTTTATCGAATTATCGTACACTGTAGGTGTCGTTAGACCCCGTGAAATCCATCTAGTTATTTAAACTATTACCTCCACTCATTAAAATAAAACATTATTATAGTTTTATTCCCGTGTCCATAGTTATTTCTAGGCTTCTCAAGTGCTCAAAATTCAAACAAATTTCGATCTATTTTTTTCAGGATATTCTTACAAATACATCTGACATGCTCTTTCACAGTTGCGGTTACAGATATAATAAATTCTGATAATATTATGCTGATCTTCATTTTCAACCTTTGCCAAAACGAAAATATTTTTGAACATTTACTGAAATTTTTTTAAGAATAGTATTCAGTTGGCGTTTTGGTTGTTCATATGCATTTTTAAGAATTAATTTGTCATAATAAAATTAAAATTGTAATAATGTTTTAATTTTGACGCAACAACTTATTGAGTTATGTATAACCAAGTGATGGTAATAGTTAATAATAATAAATGTCTTATTGTAACGCGTGTTGGTAATAGTTTAAATAACTAGATGGATTTTACAGGGTCTAACCTGAATCTGATTCGGGCTGAAGTAGTACGGTATTGGAGATCATGAAGGCTTGCAAAAAATGTAATAAAATTTCTAGGGTCGTATTTAAAAAAATGAAGTTGATGACGGTCCTGAAGGGACGAAACGTTATATATAAAAATTGATAGAGGGCAAAAAGTGGCCTTGAGAAAGTGTTCTTCTTTTTTCAATATCGCCTCAAACAAGGCTGAAATGAAACAAAAATGGATTTCCAAAATTTAGTTTTTTTTTTCAAATATTTCGAAAACTAATCATGTTAGTCTTGATTTTTTAGAGGCATAATGTTGGTCCCCTAATTACGCAACTTTGCCCCAATTTAAGCTACTTCGTACCTCTTACCATCTCCGAGATCCCTGTAGTGACAAGCGAATTTGTAACAGCCTGTATAATATATGTTGATGTTTGTAATTATAATTTCAGACTCATACGAATAAATATCTGCTGGACTATGTATCAAAACAAGTTTTTCAAGATCCCTCCCTTATTACAAATGCAGATTCAGGTTCTGTATATAGTATTGTAATAGCTGCATCACTAACTGACTACAGACCAATTCACTGGGATAATTTGAAGAATCTTATAATGCAAAAGAAAAATTTAGCAGCGGAAAACAGAAAAGAAATAATCTGGATTAGATTTGCAGCTTCTTTATGCGTTTTGGACATTTATAAAATTGATGTTTTATCGAAGGCCTTAAATCTTGAATACTTAGAATCGTTGTTTAAAAAAGGTATGTATATTATTTTATGGTTTTCATTGTTAAGGACTTTCTATACAGGTTGTTTTATTAGGAATGGGATGTAGCTTAATGGGATAATCCTTAGGTTAAAATAGATTCTTAATGAATTGCTGGTTATTTTTTATAGCTGTTTTACATTGACAATTTGTTCATGAATAAATTGACAAAGTTCTTCATGAATTGTAGTGATACAACAGTGGTACCGTTTTGACACATCCCTACTAATATTATAAATGTGAATGTAAGTTTGTTTGTTACGCTTTCACGCGAAAACTACTTAACCGATCATCATGAAACTTTGTACACATATTCTTGAAGGTATTAGAAGTAACATAGGATACTTTTTATTAAAAAAAATATTTTTTACGAAAGATTTTCTATATTTATTTACCCGCGAGCGAAGCCTACTAATAATAATAATCCCTACTAATATTATAAATGTGAATGTAAGTTTGTTTGTTACGCTTTCACGCAAAAACTACTTAATCGATCATCATGAAACTTTGTACACATATTCTTGGAGGTATTAGAAGTAACATAGGATACTTTTTATTAAAAAAAATTTACTTTTTACAAAAGATTTTCTATCACTGCGAGCGACGCTGCGGGTAAAAGCTAGTATTATATAAATATTAGTGTTTGTAAGTAACAAATCGATAAAAACAATGCAAAACTAGTACGACGTCACACAATTATTTACATATTCCTATAACATAACCTCATCACTGATCTAAGGCTGGAAATCTGTTGGGTTGGTACTTCCGAACTTCACGAAGAAATTGACGAAAATTAGAACATGTTCTAATTCGTCAAGAACTTGATGAATAAATTCATGAAGTTATTTGACAGCTGATTTGGTGCATTACACTTGTCCAATTTCTTGATGAAGCGACTTCATGAATTAATTGATCAATAAATTGTCAATGTAAAACAGCTATTATCTATAGAAAATATCTGTGGTTGTTTTTTAGGGTGGGATTTTAAATGTATTTATTTTGTCTTCATTGGTAGAGGCACTAGTTACACCTGACTGGTGTAGTAAATATGATTAATTTTGATTAAAAATAGTATATTAACTTGAACGTTAAAAAACTTAACCATTATCGAGATAAAACTGTTTTTTTGTTATTATTACATGTAAAGTAAAAAACTTCAGTTTCACAGTTTGTTTCCACCAGTTTTATTTAATTATTTGTATAAACCTAATACTTAGAAATATGTATATTAATATGCCTAAAAAGAAATTCTGTGGTTGTGACATCTTCAATAATTGTAAATAATACTTAAATGCAAACTATTTCAAACTACCTACGTTACAGACTGAAATAGATTAATTTTGTCCTAATAATATGTGTTGGATAATCAAAACAATGATAATATGGCATCAAAGGCCAAATCGATTTATGCTGCAATAAAATATGCATATAAATACTTCAGCAATAAAGTAACTGGTTTTAGAATTTCATCTTTCAATTTGTTTTAAAATTTTGAATTATTCTCTCCCTAAATTAATTTGTTCTTTGACATGTATTGAAATAAAAATCGTTTTTATCTCAAAAACTGTTTTTGATTTTCAACCAGTTTAACAATTTCTTCAAAATTAAGTTAAGTTAATATTTTCATTGGTCCAGCTTTAAACATATATGGGTACAAACATCCAGGGTACAAAATGAATATTTTTTTTTAAATTCATATCAAAAACATATGTGGGTACTAAAATGTTTGGGCTTTGATGAAAAAGAAACATTTCATTAATGCATGTTTCATTTACTTGCCCCATTTTGAACTGTTACATTCTCCCATAAGCCGTGTATCATGTGTTTAATATTTTTCAGGTTTCATGTCTGATTTTGAACATTATTTTGCAATATGGCAAAGTATAAAATTAAACAGACCAGAATTTGTGGATATACTTCCATCCAAGTTTGAACCGGAAAATATTGTTCAAAATATGAGAGAAATTTCAGATTTTCCATTAGAAGCCAGCTTGCACAATGGCTTAGGGGGTGAACAATATGTTATGACCAATTTGATTTCTAAAAAAGGGCATCAAATAGGTATGTAAATTGCATCATTTAAGTTGTGTTTTGAAAAAAATATTAGTTGAAAGAATAGTTATACAGGGTGTACTACTAGTACTTGTTTGCCGTTGAAGCAATTGTTCACACATGAAAAATCGCCGTTTGACATATCTTGGCTTCATTTTTTATGGCATCCAATTTCCTTGTCTTTGAATCATACGAGTCCATTTGGAGAATGTTGTGCGATCAACATTCAATGACTCAGCAAGTTCATCTTGTGTTTGACATGAATCTTAGTCGAGTAATGCTTCTAATCTTCAAACTTTTTCGGTTGACCAGGGCGTTACTTGTCAACTGTATCGAAATCACCACTCCGAAAACTTCGAAACCAATATTCACATGGTTTTATTGATGGAATATGTTCACTATATGTTTCCAACAGCACTCAATGACTTTGCACTTTTCTTTGACTTAAACAGGAGAAGTAAAACTTCTCGTAAATGGTGTTTTGTTGGCTCGAAATTCGACATCTTCATAGCTGAGAAAAATATATGTTGTTTACATTTCAGTAAAATGACATAATACAAAGTATGGCCTAATGACACAGCTTTGACATGAATATAGTTACAGCAGTAGTATCCGATGTGATGTACTTAGTTACACCATCTACTATAAATCCCTAACTTAATTCACATTGCACACATTTTGTTTGTTTGCACATTTATCTCAGATTTGTAATCAGCGACCCTGGAAATTCAAGGAACCAGTGGATTTAGTTATCTTTATGTTGATTCTTTTTTCTTTCTGTTGCTATCTAATTTCCGATTATCTACAAATACGCCAAGCTAATAAATTTCAATAAATGATTCCTTGGAGAGGAAACCTTGACATTCGAAGATAGATTTTGAAGAAGAGTAGTTTCAGATGGCACAACGAGTCTTGTTTAGCAAAATTACCTTGTGATGTAACATAACCTTAAATCTAGCGAAACACCGTGTTTTACGCACTTTTAGATTAGATTATTTCGAAAACTTGATGTGATTAGATGCTGACTTGCAAGCCTTGCAATTTCTTTGTTCTGCCAAGTTTATGGGTCAAGTTCGTTGCTCATTCAGTTATTGTCCAGGGGGTAATATGTAACTCATACCTTTGAGATCATTGAATATTTCTGCTTTAATTCACTCAGTACTTTTGTGAACTTTTAAAAATAAAAGAAATTTTGTTTTTAAAAACCCAAACTGCTCAAAAATTATTTCGCATCAAAAACGTTTGGAAAACTATAGTCCGGTTTCTAGTTTAAAATTTTGTCATTCTTGTGTTATTGGTGTTACAATAAAATTTTAATCTATTTTTTAGATCATGCTATATTATTTAGAAAAGGGGGGTATCCTATGGCTGTCAATAATAAAGAAGGGGTCAAGTTTATAGAAGATATAGAAGTTCAAGCAGACAACGAACTGTGAGTATGTACAATATTACATTATAAAAAATTTGAAATTTTTATTTTTTAGATTATTAATATTGGCGCTTCGACCTATCCAATATACTATAAATACCAAAGTTTTAAGGGGGACCACAACTTTAGCAATAAAAACATTAGAACATGATGGGCATGGTGTGCTTCCAGTAAATTTAGAAATATGGGAATCTTTAAATGACTTTGAAAAAATACCATACCTTATGCAACATATAAAAAATAAAGTGGACAGCGACGTTTCCATTTCGGAGAGTAAAAGTGTTGTGTAGTTACGAATTTATATTAATTTTTTAATATTTCGTTCATTTCAATTTCTATGTAGAATATAAATAAAAAGAAAACAATTATGTTGTTGTTTAAAACTGGATCAAAACAAATATTTTACACTGAAAATACTCTATTACAGATATTTTAAGATTTCATATTTTACATTTGAAATTATTGCCAGGATATTGTAGATACAGATATGAAATTACAATTTTTATACTTGAGATAACATTGAAGGCTAATTATTATTTATCACTCAGTGTGTTTTAGGATTATCGCCCAAACAGGACAACCTTTTTAATTTTTTTGAGGAAAGTAATATTTTCATAAATTTTGTGTATCAAAATAATTGCATTTCCATAAATATATTTAGTATTGTTACACAAGTTCATAAAGTAAAAAATGTTAAATAGTTGAGGTGCAAGGTGGATTTATTTTCAACTTATTTTTTTTAATTAAAAAATACGAACATATCTGAAGTTCAACCTTCATATTAATTTTATTTTTCAATAATAAATATTGGAAAACATTATTTAGTCTGTGGGTGACCCATTTTAAGTATCACCTTAAGAGCACCAGCCCAGAGGCGGCCCGTGGGTTTGAATATAGGAGGGGTGCATTTTGAAAAGAGGTGTACATCATAAGAGCTGCGGGAGGTGTGGGGGGCGGCAGCACCCCGCTTAGTGTCGCAGGTGAAACATTTTAAGGAATTTGAAGGTCATTGTGTTTTGCAAGTACGTCAAAATGAATACTGTCAGTGTGTAAAGTAGCTACTTAGATACAATGCGAGAAATAAAATTCCAACGTGTGGGGGCTGAAGTGGATAATCGATCAACCAACCCAGTTAGGATATAATTATGTAGATTACTGTAATAGTTCATTCTGTATAGTTTTTGAAGTTCCTTTAAAAACATGGGCATCACTAAGATGTTTATCTAAAACGGGATCAATTTTTGCACTATAGTCTATCAGTTCTAAAAATACCCCTTTGTTTACCGAGTCACTTTTTTTATTATGTCCACGAAGAGAAAGGTTACATGTACCACATAGTTTTAAGATATTTAAAATTTTTGAAAGAAGCAATCGATTTTTCTTAACTGTTTCGTTATGACTATTTACTATTTATTTGTTCTGCATAAGCACTATTTAAACAAGAAGCAATATTTACTCTTCCTAAAAGTAAAAAACTCACCAACTTATTTTTGTGTTTAGGAGAATTTTCATGTTTCTTAATTTTAATTTCTAAATGTTTCAAGTCAGAAACTCCAGTTTTCGTCCAGTTTTCTTCGCCTCCTCCAAACAATAAACATACAAAACAAAAAAATCTATTTGTTTGGTCACAACCACACAACCACAGGGTCTTACCATAAATGTTTTTATCAAATTTGCGAAAGCCGGCCCACTTTAGCACTCCTGCACCTGAACTAAATTCAACACTGGCATTGGACGTCCGCTATTTTTCAATTCGACTTTTTCCTCTAAACTTAAATTACTAATAACAAGTTTTTTTATTCACTTAAACTTATAAAATATAATGTCTTAAAAAGCGCCAAAGCAAAAACAAAACACATATAACCACATTTCAGTGATACGGGTTACTGCCTCATGGAGTCCCAAAACAAAGCTCGCGAGCCTATCGTCGCCTATCCCACCCACGTGCCATTCGTACCAATTTGTCCAATCATATGTAAAAATATGCTTGCAGGATGGACTCAGATTTCACGGTCCGCGACGATGGAGTGGGGATTGCGCGCGCGGTCAAACATAACTCTTTAGTACGATCATAGATGGCAGATGGCATTAATCTGAGCTACGTTCACGGAGTACATTCACTTTATGCAACCATCCTAACATCCAAGATATATTGAAGCATGCTATTTAGATTTCTTATTGATTTAAATAAATACATTATTTTAAGTTTATAGTTTGAAAATACCTGGGGGGGGGGGCGTAGTCCCAGAGTTCTCCTTCACGAGCCGCCACTGCACCAGCCTGATGCCGGACCATTCTAATAGTTGCAAATGACAACGAATAGACGAATCTGCAATGCGGCACACACTATGGTTCCTGGAAAAGGGCTACGACAGATTGACATCAGGGACTAGACATATACCTGCGAAAGATTCCAAAGACTCCCAACAAACGCTCGCCCCCACAACATTTCTTTTCATGGCACTTTTGTTTAAAAAAAAACACCATTTTATTTACCTTTGAGAGAGTTTTATTTTGCTGCACACCCAAAGTAACCCTCAAATGGTTTTAGTAAGGGGGAATATTCAAGTAGAAAATTTTTTTTCAAATTTTTCCAATATGTAGTAGAAATTATGTGCAATTTACCGGAATGCTGTCTAATGGCTGACTCTTTTGTATAGGTCTAGGAGGTATTGAGGGGTTGGACCTTTGTGAATTCTTATAGTTCGTCTAGTTAGAGTGTCATTCTGTCATCAGTTTGCAGCAGTGGACAGCATTTATATCGTGTTGTGAAAATTAATAAAGTGAAATGGATAACGGAAAAGGTAGGAAGAAACGCTGATCAGCATTGTGAGATCGAAGATGTGGAACGCATGTGTACTGCCTTAGTCAATCCTCACAACACGATCCGTGAAGGGAAGATTCTACGAAAGAAGTCACAGTTCGCTGCAGAAGACGCCCAGTGTTACAGAGGGCCTACTCTATGGTCCAGGAATCAGATTAACAGTAAAGTAAAAGAGAATTTTTCTAATATGATATTACTATGTATATGTAATTACTATGAATTTTTTACAAAAGTCGACATCCAAAAAAAAATTCTTCAAGTTTGGAATAGGAAGAATATCGTGTATGGGCGATTTACCGAGAAGCTGACAAGCAACCAAGTTCTCAAGCACGTCAATTCTTTGCCAAACAAAATCTCAAAACATACCATTATAGATACTATTCAAAGACGGTTCTCAAAATATTCGGAAAATGATTCTATTGATTGATTCCAAAATTTGACACAATATTTTCATGCAGGTTTTCTACTTCGGAACGTAGAATTTTTTTTCACTTAATTATTTTTTTATATCAACCCAGAAAGATCAGAACTTAAGGTTGAGAAATGAATGTAATGTTCAATCGGTTGCCATTTCATGAAAAAATTAAAAAAAAATCATACATTATACTTTAAAAAATTTTTTCAGATCAACCAACTGCATGTAATCTTGAGAACCACAGACTGTGCGAGCGAGAGACATTTTTTATGCCGGCCAGTGCTCCCAGTCGATATATATTTATAATACCTAATTCCTAAAATTCACCTATTTTTTCCAATGTTTACTCAGATGTTCACCCTTAACACATATTTTCAACACTTTTTCATATTCTGATTTTGTATCTCATCTGGTGATTTTGGCAATACTTTCTCTAGTTTAGTCATTTTAATAATTCAGCATTATTTCTGAAAACAACACCTTCATAATCTTTTTATTTCAAATACCCTCACAAATAAATAACTATAACGGTTAAAAAGAGACTGGAAGGCAGTCATGTCCATATCTTCTTATCTGGTTATTAGTAAAAGTGACCAATTACGATTGAGAAGAGTGGCGACATCATCCTGAAAGTAAGTTTTTGATGGGAATGCAGATAAATGAAAAGATACAAATTTATTTTCAACATAGCAGTTAAGGCTTCCATGCATGTTGTTGTGATGTGTATATAGACCAGGTGGTCAATAAATTCATCAATTTCTTCATTACTTAATTAATGAATTTCGTTAATTCTGTAAAACTGCTATTAGACTTAGCTTTAAATTTTTGACCTGAACTTATTGTTCTCGGGTTAGGAACTGAGGGTGCAACCCGCTATCAGAAACCTTAGGTCTGCCTTTTGTTGATTTCAGTTCTTGTTGGTTCTACAGACGGAACCACTCCTCAGTCATGATGAAGCTTATGCAGTCATAAGGTGTGGTACATTTGGAAGCATATTGAACGTGACCAGTTACAGAAGGTTCTACAGAACAAAGAAATGAAATTAACAGTAGAGTGAGTGTAGAGGTTTACTAAAGTAGATAAGCACAGTTAAAGATTCCTAGCTAAAGCTAAGGAAATGCAATGTAAATCTGTAATTGACGGTGACCAGGTACATAAGCCAACGTGTAATAACCCAAAAAACCATGGTACTTTATTTTCAACCTAATGGTTGCCCATCACAAATGGGCCTACAAAATGGAGCATAGATATTTTGGATATTATCAGAAAATACATCGATTTGCATCCTAAAAACGTGCTTTCCTAGAAGTTCTTTATCAACTATCAACAGAAAAAGTGTACCTTTCAATCTGAAGGAATTAATAACTTGTATAATATTCCCCAAAATAATTGATGAATTTTTGAAGTTACCAAATTCAGAAATGTATACCAGCCATTATTTCGGTAAAATTAATATTAATTCAAATGAAAAATAAAAATAAGATTTATAAATAAGTAACAATAAAAAAATTAAAGTATTTTACCTACCCTTGCTGTTAAACTATTTTATGTAGGTACTCTTGCGGTTAAAATGCTACTTGCTCTGTTGAGTTGCATAAAGCACATTTTTGCATTTGTTACAAAAATATTTTATTAAAATGAAAAAATATTTTTTTAACTTATTTTCATTTTATGATGAAGTTGAAATCCTAGAGAGAAGAAAAGTTTGCAAAAGATATATTTTAAATGCTTTTAGATTATTTGAATACAATTATAAAGACATTATTCATATTGTTCATATTTTGTTAAACCTTGAACTGTTGTAAATATTCAGTTTCCAAGGGATGAAGATGTGGTCCAGCAATTATTAGTGAATGTAATGGTCCGCCCAAATCCAATTTGGCCATTTGTTTTAAGGAGCATGCCGCTATTTGTTGATTTTGTGATCCAACTCTTGCTAAACCTACACACAAGCTGTCTTCTGTAATTTCTACAAATGTGTAGAAGTTGTCAGTGTTTTATTCAGAAATTGATTTATAAAAGGAAAATTATTGAAATGGTGAACTATAAACCACAATATGAATTATTATGAAAAAATCTGGACACATGCATGTATTTCTTTTTAAAGAAAAAATTGAAGATTGTAATATAAAATAAAAGCAAAAATTAAGTGAACTTATAATGTAAATGTATTTGTGTTAATTATGTTAATGAAAAGCGCTACCGAGTATTCAAGCATGTCATTCTACTATAGTTTATAATTCTTGTTAAAATTATGTTGCATTACATATGAAGGAAGTCAATGAAGTCATTTATGAAGGTATTGTGACTATATGCATACAAAGTTGATACAAAATTGAATTAAAAGTAGCAATAAAAAGTACATATTTTCTTAATATTCTTACCTAAAGTATCTCCCTTTTCTTGAAGGTTTTTTATAATCTCAATTAATTGTTGAGAAGCTTCACTGACTGACATAAATTTAGGTGGCATATACTCTTTTTTCTTTTTCGTTAAACTCTCTAATGTGGGTTCTTTGACTTTTATATCTGTAAGATAAGGGTATGTTTATCAAAAGATATCTGAACTTGATTTAACTAATTAGATGTCTGATACCTTAGTAACCAAACTCCTTTTAGTTAAATTGCATTTAAACTTTCTTTAATAAACCAAGCATATTATTCTTATTTTCCTTTTTGAAACAATAACCTTACCTAATAAACATAACGTATGTAATTTATTTCTATAATTGTTATAAATTTTTGGGAAAAAGCTATCAGGTTGCCAGGTTTCTGTCCAATAAGGAATTGATACAGTTTCACCAAAACTATATAATTGCAGTCCACAACATCCAATTGCATTTAAAATTGATGCATTGTGAACAACTTGCACTTCAATGCCCTTTTCTTTAGCACGTAAAACTAAGTCAGTATGTGTTGTAGCTCCAAAAGGATCACCTACAACTAATAGGGCCACATCACTGTTTTTCGACCCTGCCAAAATATCATCAGCGCCTTGTTCAACTAAATCTCTGTCTGCAATTATTAATTTGCGTCCATAGAATTCTTCCTAAAATTGCTATTTTATTATTTTAAACGATTACTGTACATTATTATTTACTAAGGTTTCAGCACCACACGTTAATATAGATGTGTACGCCTCCAAATAAACCTTTTCACAACGTTTGACAATTTCTAACCCTTTTACTGATATGTCTTTACAATCACCTAAACCTAAGCCGATAATAAAAAACATTTTCTAAAATTGATCAGTTTGTTTAAATTTGAAAGTTAGGTTAATATGACGACTGACAACCATAGAAAAAGATAAATTATCTAAGCTGACAACAGTAGCTGTATTTATATAGGCTTTTTTTCGCGAGTGAATATTGGTGAATACGTCTGACTTGTAGTTACTGTTTCTATCTCTTTTTAATCTTATTTCTAAACTTGTCTAACCTGAACAGATCGCGAAAATGTATATATTCACTATTCAGTGGTGCAGCCTGTCATATGTACTTCGACGACTTTGACATATGGCTTCAAGGCTCCCCATATATGTTTTTAAATTTTTTATATAAAAAAATTAAACTAGAAAGAGGTTAGGTCGGTTTTTTATGTAATTCATACGAAAAAGACCTGAATTACAAATGATTCCACCAATATTATCTCTGGCCTAGGTCCCAAAAAAAAAGAGGATAATCCTGAAGCAAAGTGGATCGCAAATATGTCCCATATAAAAAATTAATCTTACCATTAAGTAAAATATTTGCTGTTTCAACGTCTACGTTTACTAAAACATCTGTGCCTCTAAAGTTTAAATTTAAACTGACCACTTCCACAGCCGTATCAGAATCCATCATTTTGCTGAACGATTTTTATCCTCATTCAAACAAAATGTCAAAAAGAAAAAGGTTAAGTTACCGGCTGACAATACTAGTTGAATATACCAACAGAATATTCAGCTGAAGGGTGAAGAGTTCAGTCATTTGATCTAAACTTGTGACGTCACATAGTAGTTTAAATGACTGACTATTCTCGCAAAAACGTAATATTCACTCATACTACACATACTACAACATACGACTTCACTCGCGAAAAGCCTTATGTTTTGTGGTAGCTACGTTCCTTTCCTAGATTACAGAAAGAGAAGTATAATTCTTTCGCTCATGATTGATATTAAAGTATCTGAATGGCTGATTTTAAAAATCCACCATAATTTTTAAAATTCAAGTTAACGTAGCATTCGTAACTTATAAATTCAATGATTGAACCCAATATATATATTTGGATTGAACCATGGAGACTACACAATCTCCTTGGATTGAATCAGGGAGATTAGACAAGTAGCACGAACTCATACGACGGAATTACGAGAAAATTGACAAAATTTGTCAATGTAATAGTAGAAATTATAGTTTTTACCGCTAGTGTTCCTTGCACACCGACATATTTTCATTATTTATTGATTTATTTATCTAATTCTAAGTAGCATACAATATTTATTTTAAAATCTTTAACACATCACAAAAACGACATGATTTTTAGTGCAAACCTCAGACACAGAAGATAAAGTTGTTTTATCTTCTGTGCCTCAGAGTAATATTTATCTCCCCTCCACTATTTCGGGGCGTGTGGGACACTACAGGACACTAGCGCACTCTAATGGCGATTTCCATTGACACACTGAGTGCGCACCGAGTATATTTCCATCTTTTATTATCACTGTAAATAATACAGGATGGAGATACACTGAATGCGCACTCAGTGCATCAATGGAAATTACTATAATTTGGTAAGACGTTTGTTTACATCGAGTTCGTGCTCGTTGTGTAGTTTCCTTGGATTGAACCAAACAACGGTTCTAGACACCAACTTTTTGACCCTGGGTGACCACCCCAACGACATCCCCCCCCCCTGACCGCTAACCTTTTCTGTTTCAGAGACCGCCAGGATCAAGAAACGAAGACCGACACACACACACACATACACACCCCCCATACCCTCCTTACCTCTCCCTTCCCGCGCTAGCATAAAGGCCACCTTAGCAAAGCGCATCCCAGGCTGCATAGCCGCACTACCCTACCCAACCATAAACATGACACCACCCCCGGGGTTTTTACACAGACGCGCCGGCGAAGTAAGAAGAGCGCCAGAAGAAAGGGCCCTAGCCGGCGGGGCCCAGCCAGGAAAAAAGGCGGTCCCACAAAGCGCCTACACTGGCCGCATTTGCAGTCGGGGTACACGACGCATGGGGCCCACCTACGAAGGCTGTCCAGGCCTACACGAGATGAGGCAGGATAAAGAGGGAAAATCCCCCTCGATCCCAAATCATTGAGGCCAATTTCTAGCCATGGAATAATGGCGCGGCGCGGTTCTGTTTCAGGTCATTGTTCACAATCTTCAGATTGTGAGCCAATTATCGTACCCGCAGCGTAAAATTATCGTAAATGAACCAATATTATCGTACTTATCAAAATAATGGCAGTGTTCAGCTAATGGTCGGATTGGTCAAAGTCGTTCAGCGAACAAATATTTCGTTGGTCAGCCCAATCAGCTGATTGGGAATGTTGGGCAGGTTTTAATACAATTTGTCGTATTATAACTTGCGAGCGACCTCCAGGATTCTTCAACACCCTATATCATCCCAGGCAGCGTCATGCACACTCCGGCGTGTCTGTGGAAGTCATCTCCGAAAGAAGGCGAGACTTCGAGACAGCACACAATTTCGCCTCACTTTTCAGGTAAATCAGAAAAGAGAATCGAGAATCTGGCCGCCGTCTTCATACCAAGCGACCAATGATTCCACCACGGTATCATCTCCGTCATCGCACTCGATGTCGTCGAAACCATCAAACACCGACTCCGCACCATCACGCGGGTATCGGCACCAAATCTTAAGCCAAACGCTCCGGCGATAGCTTCGGAGGAGGGTATGGGAGGTGTGTATGTGTGAGTGTGTGTGTGTCGTTGTCTTCGTTTCTTGATCCTGGGGTGTCTCTGAAACAGAAAAGGTTAGCGGGCAGGGGGGGGGGGATGTTGTTGGGGTGGTCACCCAGGGTCAAAAAGTTTGTGTCTAGATCTTTTGTGTTTGTCGGTCACGTCGGGTATGTAGTCAATGGCCTGCCTGAGGAGGGGATTGTCTTGTCTAGCGGTTACGTCAAACCGTTTCTCCGTGTTTTGTCTTATTGTCTGTGTAGCGTTTGTGTATTGTAAAGTCTCGTAATATGTCAGTGTTTCTTACGTACCAGGGCGCGTCGGTGGCCGTGCGGAGGGCTATGTTTTCCACAGCCTGTAATGACTTTAAGTGGCTTTTTGCCGCGTGACCCCACGCCGTGGAGGCGTAGGTTAGCTGCGGTTGAAGTACCACCTTGATAAGCGTTCGCTTATTCCTTAAACTGAGGGTGTTTCCACCTTTGAGTAAGGGATAGAGCCTAGCCCTGGTGGTCTTCGCTCGCGCCACCGTCTCCACGATGTGCGGTTTCCACGTGAGACGCTGGTCCATCGTCACGCCCAGGTATCGTGTTTGTCGATTCCAGGAGATAGGTTCCTGGGATAGTGTCAGTCTGTCGAGGTTTTGTGGGATTTTTCGTTTGGTAAAAAGGATAGCCGAACTTTTGTTGGGATTAATTTTGACTTTCCACCTGTTGCACCAGGTTTCAAGTTGGTCTAAGGAGTTTTGGAGGAGGGAGACGGAATATCTAGGATCTACGGATTGGGATGTGATTGTCAGGTCGTCGGCGTATAAGTATATGTTGGTGTTGGGGGGATGTGGGATGTCGGAGTTGTAAATGGTGTATAGGTGTGGGGACAGGACGGTGCCCTGGGGGACACCGGCCTCCATGGGACGGGTGGTGGAAAGGGAGTCTTGGATTTGGATGCGGAATTTTCGGTGGTGTAGGTAGGATTTTATGAGTTTGGTAAAGGATATGGGATATTGGTTGATGAGCAATTTCATCAGTAGGCCTTCATGCCAAACCGTATCGAAGGCCTTTTCGACGTCCAGGAAGACAGCACCAGTGTACTGTCCCCTGTTGAAGGCCGCCGTGATATGCTTGATAAGGCGAAGGATTTGGAGTTCATTGGAGTGATTGTGTCGGAAGGCGAACTGCTCGTTTGGAATGACTCGCAGTTTTTGGGAGTGGGTTCTTAGACGGGTTAGGATGATTTCTTCTACCACTTTGCTCATAGCCGGTAGTAGGCTAATGGGTCGGTAGTTGGATGGGAAGGTGTGATCTTTGTTGGGTTTTGGGATAAGGATTATGTTTGCTGTTTTCCAGCGGGAAGGGAAGTGTCTTAGTAATTACAACCAAACTAGTCGAGCGATTTGGACAAACATAAAATACACTACGTACACTGCTAATTACTGGCATTAACCCATTCAAGTACAGTAGAACCCTTTTACGAAGACGGAAATGTTTTCACCACAATTTTCAATTTTTCCATCTTTGTGCCAAAAAGACCATCTTGCGAGGGTCCCACCACTCCAGCGACTTAATGCCGTGCTCGGTAGCCCGGTCTGGAAAAGGAATTTACCGAAAATTGGAGAATCCAAATTATTCCAATCGTAACATTCCTACCGATGGGGGTGACACCGCGATGCCGACACCAACGACCGCCACCCTGGCATCCTAATATCCTAATTAATCCAAAGAGGCAAGGGGAACAAGATCTGACAGCGGCAGGCGATTTTGATGTCTCCACTTTGGCGGAGAGAACGAGAACGCTCCGCCAAAACTATGGAGACGACTTTCCAAGAAGCGGGTGAACGTCCACTCGCGGCCTCTGCAGTACATTATCGGGAGCAACTAGTATGAAACCGCGCCAGACGATGTTACTTTGTAAATATTCTTGCATGCAATATTTGTCACAAACTTTTCACATATTGTATTAAGCTGAATAAAAGTTCTTTTAGAACGTCTTTCCGAGTAGGTATTTGATGTGAGAAATCCTGCACAACAAATTCAAAATCTTTGGAGCTCACAGGCTCGCTTCCCGAGACCCCGTCGAGGCTGCCTACCTCCGACGAATACCTCCTTTGAAGTACAGAGCCATAGAGCTTCTACGCGCTTCACGAGTCATCCGCCGAGGTAATTCTCGCCCGGCGAAGACCTCCATTGAGGTATCACAGAGCCAAGCGCTCACAGCTCGCTTCGCGAGATATTTCGTCACGGCCCTTTTGCCCGACGAAGCCCTCTATCTGAGAAGGAATTAGAGCCAAGCGCTCCCATATCTCGCTTCACGCGATACATCCGTCTTCGAGGCTGACCCCCTCCGACGAAGATCCTGTTTCCAATTGTA